GGCCCGGTTGTAGTTCACTGTTTGGAAACCTGGGAGAGAACGGACCCTTTCGAGTCAATTCAGACGGAAAGACATTGGCATTGAACCCGAGCTCTTGGAATTCAGTGGCAAATATGGTTTACTTTGAATCACCCGTTAGTGTCGGCTTCAGCTATAAAGAAGACAAACAATACCACAATAACGATAAGTCGACAGCAGTTGACAATCATTTAGCTCTCGAAGCGTTTTTCAAGAAATACCCAAACCTTAAGAAGAACCCGTTTTACATAACCGGCGAGAGTTATGCCGGTATTTATATACCAATGTTAGCGCACGAAATATTTAGCAACAATTCAACTATCAATTTGAAAGGTATGGTTTTGACATTTTTGCATTACAATATTAATTAAAGTATATTATTGAACTAACAATTAATAAATTATGCTAAACAGGTGTAGCGATTGGGAACGGAGTGTTAGGTCCGGCACCACTCACTGACATGTCTACCATTGACTTGAGTTTGTCTCACGGATGGGTTACCGTCGAGTCTTACACCAAAAAGATTGAGAATTGCTGTGAATGTAAGACCGGAGATGTGAGACATGAATGCGATTTCTATCATCCAGCAAACAGCACGTAAGTTATATTATTCATTATACTGTACCATATTATTTACATTTTATTAAACATTGCAATGTACATTACTGTATTTACAATTTGTTGCTACGATATACAATATAAATGTAAATATAAATGTATTTTAAAAATATCCTAATACTATTTTCAAAGTTATTTTAAAAACTCAACCAATATTTCAAAAATTTATTATCATGTACATACTACTATTTTTTCATTAAGTTCTTTGCAATAATTGTTATAATAATTACTATTAATAACATAATATTACATATGTTTAATGCGAAAGTAAAAGGTGAGATGTATTGATCATACTGCTATACTGTAAGTATTCAATATTACTAACCAATATTTATTCAATAATCAATACATCTCACCTTTTACTTTCGCATTACACATATAGTAAATGCAATTCGGTTCGACTCGAAGAAGTTTATAATCCCAACCCATACAACCAATACGACGATTGTGGTGCAGATGTCGCTTATTTGAGGCTTTATAACAAATACTTCGCAAAGCGGGCCAACACTGTGGCCATCAGTGAAGAGCGTAACTTAGTTTGTCCTCCGGTTGGATACGATAAGTGGATTAATATTCCCGAAGTTCGTAACGCATTGCACGTGAGGCCTGAGGACACTCACCATTGGTACGACTGCGGCGGCTCTTACTCTGGACGAGACACCGATCAGCGACCGATTATACTTGATTTGATTGATAAATACCATATTGAAAAACTGGTCATTTTCAACGGCAACTTTGACACCGTTTGCGATTTCATTGATAATCAACGGTTTGTCGATAGTCTAAAGTTTAAGAAAATTGGACAATATAGGTTTGTAGCAATTATTTTATTTATGTATTCATTAATTAATTACAAAATGTCTATTAATATAGTGGTTGGCGAACAACTGATGGAACTTTGGCTGGTTTTGCCCAGAAATACGAGAAGAACCTAAGCTTTGTGTTGGTTCGCGGGGCCGGACATATGGTCCCACACGACAAACCCGAGTCCGCACTACAGTTACTAAAGAATGTAATCGGAAATGGCTTTTAAATTATTCAATTAAAATATTATTTTAAACTAAAATAATTATATTCTAAATAAATGTCTCAAATTAACCATAATAAAAGTTAAATTTAAATTAAATTGACAATTATAATTCCAAAAACTCGCAACATTAGCATAAAACCATTTGTGAGTAAATACTTTTGCACATTATTAACAAATCAAATTGTTATGCATTTCACCATTAATACGTTAAAGAATAGACCGAGATGAATATTTAAATAATATACTTTTATTAATAATCTTTTATTTGATTATAATAATTGAAAGTTAATATTTAATATGCTTAATAGCAATATCGTTATAAACTTTTAATTACTAGATTAGTTAATCAATAAGCATTCGTTATATTTTAAGCACTTAATTATTTTAATAAATGCTGATAAAATTGTCTTAGATAACTTATCATTAAAACAAAACAAAAAACAACATTGGATTTGAATGAAATTTTTATCTTAAAGTAAGAAATAAATGTATAAAAATTCGTATTATATTTTTTTAAGTATTAATGTGTGTTATTCACAACTAAAACATGATTTCCAATCAACTTTCTTTGTTTTTTATTACATTAACTTTTCGTTTATTGTTAATATTTGCTGCAAATGAAGACGAGATTAAGGATCTTCCGGATCTTTCGGATCCAATAAATTTCAAACAATATTCCGGTTATTTAGATATCGGCGACGGAAAGCATTACTTCTATTGGTTGGCTGAGAGTCAGACGGCGCCAGAGAGCGCACCGGTAGTGTTGTGGTTGAATGGAGGGCCCGGTTGTAGTTCACTGTTTGGAAACCTGGGAGAGAACGGACCCTTTCGAGTCAATTCAGACGGAAAGACATTGACATTAAACCCGAGCT